CCTGTGTTCTCTCCCCATCCGCCCGACCCCGTCCTGTGTTCTCTCCCCATCCGCCCGACCCTGTCCTGTGTTCTCTCCCCATCCGCCTGACCCTGTCCTGTGTTCTCTCCCCATCCGCCCGACCCCGTCCTGTGTTCTCTCCCCATCCCCCCCACCCCGTCCTGTGTTCTCTCCCCATCCAGCCACTCCGTACTGCCTATCTCGTCTTCCCTCCCCATCCCCCTGACCCCGTCCTGTTTTCTGTCCCCATCCACCCACCCTGTCCTGTCTCCTCTCCCCCATCCTTGGCATCTTTTGCTTTTCTGGGGCTTTTCGCTGCTGAGACGTGTCGGTCACCCAGGGGCTCACTGCTCACTTTTTTCTGGGGGCTTTACTTACAGTTGGGGTTCCTTGCCGCCAAGTGAACACACGTGTTCTTGGTGTGCGGGCAGCCTGGGTCCTGGCACTGTTCCACACAGTGACAGAGGTACAGAGCCAGCCACGAGGACGTCTACGTGGGTTAACATTGGGGAGCAGCTTGAGAGGCATCTGAGCTCCTGTTCCTCCCCATGGTTTCACTCACTCACTCGCTGTCTGGGGGCACAGCCCTGTGCCCTTCTTCTCGGGACTGCATGGTGCTCTGTGCCCCGCGGCCAGCAGCAGAGGCCAGTCCTCTGACCCCTGAGTCCTGACATGCCCACGCCTGGCACCTGCAGCCTTGGCAGAGAGTGGCCGACTTGGGGCTGGGCTGGCAGCAGGATCTCCCTTGGCGTGGGGGTTCTCTCAGGACAGGAGGTGCCCGGCCCGCCGCTCCGCTGACTTGGAATTTATACCTTGTAGGGCATATTCATCTCCCGCGTGTCGGAGGAGGGCCCCGCAGCCCGTGCCGGAGTCCGGGTGGGGGACAAGCTCCTGGAGGTGAGCCTCCAGTGGGTTCCTGGGGGGCTGTACCGGGGGCACCTCTTTTTTCTCCTTTCTCGCTCCCCTACTGGTCTCGATGAGACTCCGAGGTGCTGTCTGCTCCCGCGAGGTGCTTAGGTAGCCCCTGCAGTGGTGAGCCACAGGAGGGTGCTGCTGTGGAGTCTTTTGGGGGGTTGGCCCAGAAAGGGTCCAACTTCTCGCGGGTCTGGGTGAGCCCTGAGCTGGAGCCCCTTGGCACCCAGCCATCCTACCTGGGCACGTGTGTTCTGAGCTCGTGGGGCAGCAAGGGCCGGCGTCTGGGGGTACCCTTCCTACGGGTGGGGGTGTGTGGGGACACTGGGGCCTGGGCCAGGAGGGCATTGTGGGTGGGTGTCCACTTACCTAGCCAACGTGTGTCCTGGTCCTGGGACTCTGCGGCACCCACGGATGGGAAGACAGGAGTCACCTAGAGCTTCAGGGCTGAAGCCCGGGGCTTCGGTCTCCCCTTGCGGAGTGGGGTGACGGCCCGCCCGCCATTCAGGTGAACGGCGTGGCCCTGCAGAGCGCAGAGCACCAGGAGGCCGTGGAGGCCCTGCGGGGGGCGGGCGCCACCGTGCGGATGCGAGTGTGGCGGGAGCGCATGGTGGAGCCGGAGAACGCAGTCACGGTCACGCCTCTGCGGCCCGAGGACGACTACAGCCCCCGGGAGAGGCGAGGGGGCGGCCTGCGCTTGCCCCTGCCCCAGCCTGAGGCCCCCGGGCCCCTGCGCCAGCGTCACGCCGCTTGTCTCGTGCGCAGCGAGAAGGGGCTGGGCTTCAGCATCGCTGGCGGGAAAGGCTCCACTCCCTACCGGGCTGGCGACGCAGTAAGGCGGGGGAGCGTCTGGGCGGGCTCCCCGAGGGCGGCAGCAGCAGGGCGGGTGCAGGCTTCACCGGTGGCATCCGTCCCACAGGGCATTTTCATCTCGCGCATCGCAGAAGGCGGTGCTGCCCACCGGGCGGGCACCCTGCAGGTTGGCGACCGCGTCCTCTCGGTGAGTGGGGCGGGCAGGGGAAGAGATCCTGGCCAGCGCTGTTCACCCCCCCCCCAACCCATCCCCCTGACCGGGTACTGCCCTCGCAGATCAACGGCGTGGACATGACGGAGGCCCGGCACGAGCACGCTGTGTCCCTGCTGACTGCCGCCTCGCCCACCATCACCCTGCTGCTGGAGCGGGAGACTGGGGCGCCCCCGCCCCCCAGCCCTCCCCCGCACTCGCCACCGCTCCCCGCTGCTGCCTCCACCCCAACCACTGCCACCGCCGGGGAGCCTGGGCCGCCAAGGCTGGCTCCCAGCCTGCTGGCTGCTGCCCTGGAGGGGCCCTATCCAGTGGAGGTGAGACTCCCTTGGCCCCCCGACCACCCATGTAACTCTGAGGATGTGGGCCACGGGCCCCCAGGATCTCTTCCTGTGGCAGCGCTGTCGCGTCTTCGTTGGTTGGCCTCCTCCCGACGTGGTCTTCACCCCGCTTCATGCTGTGCACCCCTAGATGGCCTGTGCTCCTCTGCCATCACACCCACCTGGTTTATTGCTTGTCGGGCTCGACCCCCACTTCACCTCCCTGACAACGGGACACGTGTCTGGTATTGTGGTCCTGTGTTCTCGAGGTGTATGCCCACTCTCTTCTCGAGGCTCTTGTGGCTGGGGGAGCATCCTGTTTGTCACGCCCCCACTTAACGTGGGCCTTTGGGGATGGTGGCCCAGCCCTGACGTTTCCCCCGCCTCCGTGTCCTCAGGAGATCCGGCTGCCCAGAGCGGGGGGCCCGCTGGGGCTCAGCATTGTCGGGGGCTCTGACCACTCGAGCCACCCGTTTGGTGTGCAGGAGCCGGGAGTGTTCATTTCCAAGGTAGAGAGCGTGGGCACCGCCTGGGCGGGCGTGGGCAAGGAGGCCCTTTGTGGGCCAGCCTGGACAGCCGGCCCCCACCCACCAGTCTGCCTCCCCCCACAGGTGCTCCCAAGAGGCCTGGCTGCGCGCAGCGGCCTCCGGGTCGGGGACCGCATCCTGGCGGTCAATGGGCAGGACGTGCGGGAAGCCACGCACCAGGAGGCAGTCAGCGCCCTACTCCGGCCCTGCCTGGAGCTGCGCCTGCTCGTGCGCAGGGACCCACCACCCCCAGGCATGAGGGTAGGTACTGGGTCGGGGCCATGGGCAGGCAAGGGGCCGAGCCCACACCCGCTGACAACCCCGGCCCCGCCTGTCTCACCCAGGAGCTCTGCATCCAGAAGGCTCCGGGAGAGAAGCTGGGGATCAGCATCCGTGGGGGCGCCAAGGGCCACGCAGGGAACCCCTGTGACCCCACTGATGAGGGTGTTTTCATTTCCAAGGTAGGGAGATGGGGGACGGGCGCTGGGCGCTGGGGGGATGGGGGACGGGTGCCGGAGAGATGGGGGATGGGGGATGGGC